TTGCCCATCAGGTTTTCTCCCTTATGGCCTTGTCATAGGTAGGGTCTTGTATATTGGCTCCCGGCAATCCACAAAAGGGTAGCATCAGTCCTGCCGATGAATATTCGGGTTGATTTCCTTTAGGATTGACTGGTTTGATCTCCTTGCTGTACAAGGAACTCCGTATCTTTGACAAAAGAGGCAAGAATATACAATGGAAAAAAGACAACTTCTTCAATAAATGGTGCTGAGGAAACTGAAGAGCTACCTGTAAAATAAGGGCTTCCCAGGTGACGCTGGTGGTAAAGAACTAACCTGCCAATGCAGGTGATGCAAGAGACGTGGGTTCGATCCCTGAGTTGGGAAGATTCCCAGAGTAGGAAATAGCACCCCACTCCAGTATTCTTGCCTGTAAAATACCATGGGCAGAGGAGGCTACAGTCCATGGGGTTGCATAGTTAGACATGACTGAGTGAGCACAATAAGCACAACATGTAAAAGAATGAAAGTAGAACACTTCCCAACACCATGCGTGTGTGCTGTCACTGCTGTCTTGTCCAACTCTTTGCAACCCTACGGACTGTAGCCCACCAGGGAATCCCACTCTGTCCATGGGATTCTCCAGGCAAGAATACTGGAGTGGGTTTCCATGCCCTCCTTCAAGGGATCTTTCTGACCCAGGGATTGAACCCATGTCTCTTACATCTTCTGTACTGGCAGGTGAGTTCTTTACCACTACCCACCTGGGAAGTCCTCCTAACACCATACACAAAAATAAACTCAAAATGGATTAAAGACTTAAATGTAAGGCTGGAAACTCTAAAGCTCTTAGAGGAAAACAGGCTTAGCAGTCTTTGACATAAATGACAGCAAAATCTTCTCTGACCTATCTCCTAGAGTAATAGAAATAAAAGCAATTATAAATGAATGGGACCTAATTAAAATTAAAAGCTTTTGCATAGCAAAGGAAACAATAAACAAGATTAAAGTACAACCCTCAGAATGGGAGAAAATTAAAAACAAGCAAATGATGAAGGATTAATCTCCAAAATACATAAGGAGCTCATACAGCTCAATATAAAAAAAACAAACAGCCCAATCAAAAAATGGGCAGAAGACTAAAACAGACATTTCTCCAAAGAAGACATACAGAGGGTCAATAAACACATGAAAAGATGCTCACCATTGCTCAATATCAGAGAAATGCAAATCAAAATTACAATGAGCTACCACCTCACACCAATCAGAATGACCATCATCAAAAAAAAAAACCCCAAAACTACAAACAATAAATGCTGGGGAGGATGTGGAGAAAAGGGAACTTTTTTGCGCTGTTGGTGGTAATATAAATTGATTCTAATTTCAGCCACTATAGAGAACAATATAGAGATTCTTTAACAAAATAAGAATAAAACTGCCATGTGATAGTTCCACTACTGGGAATATACCTTGAGAAAACCACAATTCAAAAAAACACTTGTTGGAGAAGGTAATGGCAACCCACTCCGGTATTCTTGCCTGGAAAAGTCCATGAACAGAGAAACCTGGCAGGCTGCAGTCCATGGGGTTACATGACTGAGCATGTGTGCACACAGTTGGAGGGAGATGGGTTGGTAGCAATAAAGTGGTAGAACTAAAAAAAAAAACAAACAAACACTTGTACCCCAGTGTTTACTGCAGCACTATTTAGAATAGCTAGGACATTGAAGCGTGGGCTTCCCTTGTGACTCAGCTGATAAAGAATCTGCCTGCAATGCGGGAGACCTGGGTTCAATCCCTGGGTTGGGAAGATCTCCTGGAGAAGGGAAAGACTACCCACTCCAGTATTCTGGCCTAGAGAATTCCATGGACTGTATAGTCTATGGGGTTGCAAGAAGTCAGACGCGATTGAGCGACTTTCACACACACAGGACTTGGAAGCAACCTAGACATCTATTGACAGATGAATGGATAAAGAAGTTGTGGTACATATATACAATGGAATATTACTCAGCCAAAAAAGGAACAAATTTGAGTCAGCTGTAGTGAGAAGGATGAACTTAGAGTCTATCAGGCAGAACAAAATCAGAAAAACAAATATTGTATATTAACACATATATACGGAGTCTAGAAAAATGGTACTGATGAAGCTATTTACAGAGAAGACATGGAGATGCAGATGTAGAAAATGGACTGGTGGACACAGTGGGAGAAGGAAAGGGTAGGATAAATTGATACACTAGCACTGACCTACATGCATTATCATGTGTAAAATAGAGAACTAGCAGGAAGCTGCTGTATAACACAGGGAGCCCAGCCTGGCACTATGTGATAACTGCCAACTAAAATAGATGCACAACTTGAAGGGAGGGAATATATGTATACCTATGGCTGATTCATGTTGAGGTTTGACAGAAAACAACAACATTCTGTAAAGCAATTATTCTTCAATTAAAAAACAAATTAAAAAAAAAAGATGTACAACTTGAGAATTGTAAGTTAAACTTTATTTAGGGCAAAATGAGGACTGCAACCCAGGAGGCAGCACCTCAGATAGCTCTGAGAGACTACTCCAAAGAGGCAGTCGGCGAAGGTCAATATATAAGGTTTTGGTGAAGGAGGAGTTTAGTGCAATCAACTGCTTACTTTACAAGAGGTGAGTCATGAGGATCTGATGTCACCATGAAGGGATTTATTGCTTCTCTAGATATGAGGAGATGCAAGGACTGGAATCATAAAATCAACTCCTGAAAATATCTAACTATCTAAAGACCTGTCCCACCAGGTTCCTTGGAGCACATTCCACTTTGAACTTCCTCAGAGGGTGTTGAAGGTCAACAACTGCAGCAGCACAGGGTTCAATCTCCACAGAGGCAGGTGGCAGATGCCCTTGTTCAGTCACTGCCGATGCTCTTGGCTCTTGCCAATGCTCAGTGCCCATTTATAGTTGACAGAAGCTAGGGGAGGGGACTGGTAGGGGGTGCTCAAGAGAAAGAGGGTATGACTGATTTGTGTTGATTTACAGCAGAGACCTCCACAACACTGTGAAGCAATTGTTATTGTTAGTCACTGAGTCGTCTGCCTCTTTGCGACCCCATGGACTGCAACTTGCCAGGATTCCTGGTCCTTCACCATCTCCTGGAATTTGCTCAGACTCATGTCCCTTGGATCAGTGATACTATCTAACCATTTCATCCTCCACCACCCCCTTCTCCTTTTGCTTTCAATCTTTCCCAGGATCGGGGTCTTTTCCAATGAGTTGGTTCATTGTAAAGCAATTATCTTCCAATTCCCTGGTGGCTCAGATGGTAAAGCGTCTGCCTACAATGCGGGAGACCCAGGTTCAATCCCTGGGTTGGGAAGATCCCCTGGAGAAGGAAATGGCAACCCACTCCAGTACTCTTGCCTGAAAAATCCCATGGACCGAGTAGCCTGGTGGGCTACAGTCCATGGGGTCCAAAAGAGTCGGACATGAGTGAGTGACTTCACTATTACTATCACCTTATGACTAGAAGCAACCTTCTACCGAGATGTGTGGTTCACTCAACTCATAGCTCTTACACTATGTGTTTTTTCAGTCAACAAATCTTAAAAGTTTAAACTCTGAAATATATGCCCTCAAGGATTTCAAAGGAGAGGTTGTGCACCTCTGGCAACCTTCTGGCTATTTCTGAATTTTGCCCAAACTCCACCTGTCAGTTGCACCACTTGATCCTCATGACCCTGTAGGAAAGCCAGGAAGGTATTGTCTGAAAAGGCTGTGTCTGATCCCAATCTTCCTGAGACTAGGAAGATTAGGGTTACTAGGGCTCAATCCCGCCCTAGGCTCCACCTACCCTCCTCATTTATTATTAACAGCCTGAGGACCCACCTGGACTTTCCTTGCTGCCTTTGAGGAAATTCGTTCTTCAGGGACAAGCATGGCCTGGAAGATCACACCACTGCTGTGCCTTTTGGTGTGTGTGGCTGCTGTGGGGGCAGCCCAGCCCAGGACTCAGCTCCTCAACATCTGCATGAATGCCAGATACCATAAGGAAAAGCCAGGTCCCGAGGACAAGTTACACGGACAGGTAGGCAGAGGGGTCATCTGGGATGGGGAAGAGCTGCCTCGGGGAACGTCTACCCCCATCCTTGGCGGAGGCAGGGAGGTTCCTGAACAGCTCTTTCTTCAGTTTGCAATGACTCTTTTATACACACTGTGTGCCCAGTGTGGTCAGAACAATGCCTAGAGCTCAGCTTCTTGGTTGTTGAGTTTCCGTGTTACTCAAATCAGGAAGCAGGCCTGGAGAGACCTTTTGGGGGAAAGGAGGGGGTTGATTTTCTTTTTTTAATTCTTTTTTTAAAAGTTTATATTTGGCTGTGTTGGGTCTTCGTTGCGGCCCACAGGCTCTTTGCTGCTCTAGGAGGGCTTAGTTGCTCCGTTGCATGTAGAAATCTTAGTTCCCCTATCAGGGATCAAACCCATATCCCCTGCATTGCCAGACAGATTCTTAACCACTGGACAAGCAGGGAAGTCCCCTTAATATTCTGCTTTTATACTAAATTCTAGGCCATGGGTTTTCATTCATTCACAAGATCATTGTGTATTTCTGTAATTAGAACTCTACTGGGGTTGCGATTCATTTAACTTGCTTCCTCACCTTCAGGTCTTTATCACATTCCCAAAGAGGCTTAAGCTGGTCATTCCAGAAAACTAAAATTTCCTGTTCCTCTCCTGCTGTTTTTGCCCAAAGCAATTATCCAGTGCTAAGTTTTCATTGTGTTCCCAGTTCCTAGAAAGATGCCTGGGTTAGAAATGGGAGCTCAGTAAAAATTTGAATTAATGAATGTTGTGATGACTGCTACGCCTGGGATCCCACAGTCTTGGAGAACCCTGTCCCCCAAAAGGGTCCCTCCACACGATGTTTCTCTGAAGACTGTGAGGAATCAAGGACTGAAGGGGAGAGGCGGGAATATTCTGGTTGTGCTGGGTGTGACAGCTCACCCTCTCTCACATCCAGAGAGTGTGAGAGAGTCCCTCTCCCTTCCCCCCACCCCAACAGTGCAGCCCTTGGAAAAAGAATGCCTGCTGCTTTGTCAACACCAGCACAGAAGCCCATAAGGATATTTCCAGCCTGTACAGATTTGACTGGGACCACTGCAGCAAGATGGAGCCTGCATGCAAGCGCCACTTTATTCAGGACACCTGTCTCTACGAGTGCTCACCTAACCTGGGGCCCTGGATCCAGGAGGTATGGGCACCAGCCCTGCAGCCTCAGCAGAGGACAGCCCCCTAGCTGACCCACCCCCAGCCACTTGCAGGGACGCTCCAGGAATTCTGGTCTGAGGAGGGTCGTGGGAACACCTCTTTTGCCCCTTTCCTGTTTGCCCATTTCTGTTCCCCTCTGACCATCAGTTCAGTTCAGTCACTCAGTCGTGTCTGACTCTTTGTGACCCCATGGACTGCAGCACACCAGGCTTCCCTGTCCATCACCAACTCCCGAAGCTTACTCAAACTCATGTTCATTGAGTCGGTGATGCCATCCAACCATCTCATCCTCTGTCATCCCCTTCTCCTCCTGCTTTCAGTCATTCCCAGCATCAGGGTCTTTTCAAATGAGTCAGTTCTTCACATCAGGTGGCCAAAGTATTGGAGCTTCAGCTTCAGCATCAGTCCTTCCAATGAATATTCAGGACTGATTTCTTTTAGGATGGACTGGTTTGATCTCCTTGCACTCCAAGCGATTCTCAAGAGTCTTCTCCAACACCACAGTTCAAAAGCATCAGTTCTTCAGCTTTATAGTCCAACTCGCACATCCATACATGACCATTGGAAAAACCATAGCTTTGACTAGACAGACCTTTATTGGCAAAGTAATGTATCTGCTTTTTAATATGCTGTCTAGGTTGGTCATAACTTTTCTTCCAAGGAACAAGCATCTTTTAATTTCACGGCTTCAGTCACCATTTGCAGTGATTTTGGAGCCCAAAAAAATAGTCTGTCACTGTTTCCATTGTTTCCCCATCTATTTGCCATGAGGTGATGGGATCCGATGCCATGATCTTAGTTTTCTGAAGGCTGAGTTTTAAGCCTACATTTTCACTCTCCTCTTTCACCCTCATCAAGAAGCTCTTTAGTTCTTTTCTTTCTGCCATAAGAGTGATGTCATCTGGATATGAGGTTATTGATATTTCTCCCAGCAATCTTGATTCCAGCTTGTGCTTCATCCAGCCCAGCATTTCTTATGATGTACTCAGCATATAAGTTAAATAAACAGGGTGACAATATACAGCCTTGACGTACTCCTTTCCCAATTTGGAACCAGTCTGTTGTTCCATGTCCAGTTCTAACTGTTGCTTCTTGACCTACATACAGATTTCTCAGGAGGCAGGTGAGGTGGTCTGGTATTCCCATCTCTTGAAGTATTTTCCACCTTTTGTTGTGATCCACACAGTCAAAGGCTTTGGCATAGTCAATAAAACCGAAGTAGATGTTTTTCTGGAACTCTCTCGCTTTTTCAAAGATCCAGCGGATGTTGGCAATTTGATCTCTGGTTCCTCTAACATTAAAACAACCTAATTATAGGGATGAAATCACCAGGCAATTTAACCTAACTCCTGACTTATGCTCTCTGGAATAGATACCATGCCTTGCCTAACTTGTTGATTCATTTCCTAGATTAAAAAAGTAAGGATGAAAAATTACTTAAGTATCTAAAAAATGATTAGCTCTGTACCTCCAACAGCTCCCTTAGCAAACCCGCAGGCAAATCACTGGGCAATATAGTATCTGAAGACAGCCAGTTGGTACACAATGGAGAATGATACATAATCTAACCTCCTGCCTTAATGATTTCCTGAGGTTCTTTTCCTTTTCTCCTTTAAAAATGGGCATGGCTGAACATAATGTGGAGTTGGCCTCAGGACATGAATTAACTTCTCTCCAGGTTGCTGGCTTTTCTTTTTCTTTTTTAAAGTTTATATTTTAATTTTTATTTATTATTTTATTTATTTATTTATGGTTGTGCTGGGTCTTGATTACTGCGTGGCCTTTTCTCTGGCTGCAGCGTATGGACTTCTCATTACAGTGGCTTCTCTCATTGTGGAGCATGGGCTCTAGGGTGCGAGGGCTTCAGTAGTTGTAGCACTTGGGCTCCATTACAGTTCTCTGACTCTAGAGCACAGGCTCAATAGTTGTGGCACACAGGATTAGTTGCTCCACGGCACGTGGGATCTTCCCCAACCAGGGGCTGTGTGCACGTCCCCTGCACAGGCAGGTGGATCTTACCCACTGTACCACCAGGAAAGTCCCATTGATTACTGGCTTTTGAGCAGAGAGCAGCTAAAACTGAGTTTGGTTAACAGTGGAGTCACTGCCTCTCTCTCAGCCCTGGACTCCATCAGGGCTATAGCAGTTGAGATCCCTGGCTGACTAGCGCCCTCCTTCCCTGGTTCCCGACCCAGGTGAATCAGAGCTGGCGCAAAGAACGGATCCTGAATGTGCCCCTGTGCAAAGAGGACTGTCAGAGCTGGTGGGAAGACTGCCGCACCTCCTACACTTGCAAGAGCAACTGGCACAGGGGCTGGAACTGGACCTCAGGTGAGGGCTGGAGGCGGGGAGGGGGAGGGAGGGGGAGGTGGGGTGTGGGAGGGTTTATGGAAACTTGGAGTTGTGGGGTTGGGGGAGCAAGAGGTGCTTCTGGACCCAGTGGCTACAGGCTTCTATCCTCCCCACAGGGTACAACCAGTGCCCGGTGAAAGTTGCCTGCCACCGCTTCGACTTCTACTTCCCCACGCCTGCAGCTCTGTGCAATGAAATCTGGAGTCACTCCTACAAGGCCAGCAACTACAGCCGGGGCAGCGGCCGCTGCATCCAGATGTGGTTTGACCCCTTCCAGGGCAACCCCAATGAGGAGGTGGCAAGATTCTATGCTGAGAGCATGAATGGGGCTAGGCTCCATGAGGCCTGGCCTCTGCATTTCTGCCTGCTCCTAGTGTTGCTCTGGCTGCTCAGTTGAGCTCCTTTTATTTTCTGACACCTGGCAATCCCTGCCCCGTTAAGCTCCACAGTCAGTTTGTTCCTTGGTGGAAACTGTTTGAATAAAAATTCAGTCACCCTACATGTATCACGTAAGTTATTTGAATGTGAATGGAAATGTGACTTTTGCTTTCCAATACCACTGACTGAAACTGGTTAGACTTGGCCAGTTTTCAATTCTGATACTTGCTATGATCTTGCCAAATAACTTTATTCTTCCAATCTAGGGGATATTCATAGCTCTCAACTTCATTTTTCACTGCAGCTTTAATCTAGAGCCAGGCAGAGGACTTTATCATTTGAATTGGACCCAAGTATTCCAGGGCTAACTGGAATACTTGTTCTGTCGTTTTCTCAGCTTTCCAACAGAAGAAAGGGGAATGGAAGTATCCAGCATGGACAGCATGTTCTGGACAGCTGGCTGGGAAGAGGTGAAGGGTGACCAAGAGAGATCTAGACCATCTAATACAGCACTATCTGCTGGGCACTGTCCCCAATTCTTGATACATATTCTATTCCTATAAGGTATAGATGCTTTGTCTATATTCTGTTGTTGTCCAGTCACTCAGTCATGTCTGAATCTTTGTGACCCATGGACTGCAGCATGCCAGGCTTCTCTGTCCTTCACTAATTCTGGGAGTTTGATCAAATTTATGTCCATTGAGTTGGTGATGCCATCAAACCATCACATCCTCTGTTGCCCCCTTCTCCTCTTGCCCTCAGTCTTTCCCAGAATTAGGGCCTTTTCTGATGAGCTGGCTCTTCACATCAGGTGGCCTAAGTATTGGAACTTCAGCTTTAACAACAGTCCTTCCAATAAGTATTCAGGGTTGATTTCCTTTAGGATTGACTGGTTTGATCTTTTCGCTGCTGTCCAAGGCAATCAAGATTGCCAGGAGAAATATCAATACCTTCAGATATGCAGATAACACCACCCTGATGCAGAAAGCAAAGAGGAATAAAGAGCCTCTTGATGAGGGTGAAAGAGGAGAGTGAAAAAGCTGGCTTAAAACTCAACATTCAAAAAATGAAGATCATGGCATCGGGTCCCATCACTTCATGACAAATAGATATGGAAACAATGGAAACAGTGACAGATTTCATTTTCTTGGGCTCCAAAATCACTGCAGATGGTGACTGCAGCCATGAAATTAAAAGATGCTTGCTCCTTGGAAGAAAAACTCTGACCAATCTAGACAGCATATTAAAAAGCAAAGACATTACTTTGCCAACAAAGGTCCATATAGGGAAAGCTATGGTTTTTCCAGTAGTCATGTATGGATGTGAAAGCTGGACCATAAAGCAAGCTGAGCACTGAAGAACTGTTGCTTTTGAACCGTGGTGTCGAAGACTCTTGAGAGTCCCTTGGATTTCAAGGAGATCAAACCAGTCAATCCTAAAGGAAATCAATCCTGAATATACATTGGTAGGACTGATGCTGAAGCTGAAGCTCCAATACTTTGGCCACCTGATGTGAAGAACTGACTCATTGGAAAAGACCCTGATGATGGGGAAGATTGAAGGCAGGAGGAGAAGGGGACCACAGAGGATGAGATGGTTAGATGGCATCACCAACTCAATGGTCATGAGTTTGAGCAAGCTTAGGGAGTTGGTGATGGACAGGGAAGCCTGGTCTGCTGCAGTCCATGGGGTTGCAGGGTTGGATATGACTGAGTGACTCAACTGAACTGAAGGGATTCTAAGTCTTCTCCAGCACCACAATTCAAAAGCATCAATTCTTTGGCACTCAGCCTTCTTTATGGTCCAGTTCAGTTCAGTCGCTCAGTCGTGTCCGACTCTTTGTGACCCCATGAACCGCAGTACACCAGGCCCCCCTGTCCATCACCAACTCCCAGAGTCTACCCAAACCCATGTCCATTGAGTTGGTGATGCCATCCAACCATCTCATCCTCTGTTATCCCCTTCTACTCCTGCCCTCAATCTTTCCCAGTATCAGGGTCTTTTCAAATGAGTCAGCTCTTCACATTAGGTGGTCAAAGTATTGGAGTTTCAGCTTCAACATCAGCCCTTCCAATGAACATCCAGGACTGATCTCCTTTAGGATGGACTGGTTGGATCTCCTTGAAGTCCAAGGGACTCTCAAGAGTCTTCTCCAACACCACAGTTCAAAAGCATCAATTCTTTGGCACTCAGCTTTCTCTACAGTCCAACTCTCACACCCATACATGACTACTAGAAAAACCATAGCTTTGACTAGACAGACCTTTGTTGGCAAAGTAATGTCTCTACTTTTTAATATGCTGTCTAGGTTGGTCATAACTTTTCTTCCAAGGAGCAAGCATCTTTGAATTTTATGGCTTCAGTCACCATCTGCAGTGATTTTGGAGCCCCTCAAAATAAAGTCTGACACTGTTTCCACTGTTTCCCCATCTATTTGCCATGAAGTGATGGGACCAGATTCCATGATCTTAGTTTTCTGAATGTTGAGTTTTAAGCCTACTTTTTCACTCTCCTCTTTCCCTTTCATCAAGAGGCTCTTTAGTTCTTCTTTGCTTTCTGCCATAGGGTGGTATCATCTGCATATCTGAGGTTATTGATTTCTCCCAGCAATCTTGATTCCAGCTTGTGCTTCATCCAGCCCAGCATTTCTCATGATATATTCTGCATATAAGTTAAATAAGTAGGTGACAATATACAGCTTTGACATAGTCCTTTCCTGATTTGGAACCAGTCTGTTGTTCCGTGTCCAGTTCTAACTGTTGCTTCTTGACCTGCATATAGATTTCTCAGGAGGCAGGTGAGGTGGTCTGGTATTCCCATCTCTTGAAGAATTTTCCACAGTTTGTTGTGATCCACACAGTCAAAGGCTTTAACATAGTCAATAAAGCAGAAGTAGATATTTTTCTGGAACTCTTGCTTTTTCGATGATCCAATGGATGTTGGCAATTTGGTCTCTGGTTCCTCTGCCTTCTCTAAATCCAGCTTGAACATCTGGAAGTTCATGGTTCACGTACTGTTGAAGCCTGGCTTGGAGAATTTTGAGCATTACTTTGCTAGCGTGTGCATGAGTGCAATTTGTGGTATTTTGAGCAGTCTTTGACATTGCCTTTCTTTGGGATTGGGATGAAAACTCACCTTTTCCAGTCCTGTGGCCACTGCTGAGTTTTCCAGATTTGCTGGCATATTGAGTGCAGCACTTTCACAGCATCATCTGTTAGGATTTGAAATCGCTCAATTGAAATTCCATCACCTCTACTAGCTGTGTTCATAGTGATGCTTCCTAAGGCCCACTTGATTTCGCATTCTAGGATGTCTGGCTCTAGGTGAGTGATCACACCATTGTGATTATCTGGGTCATGAAGATCTTTTTTGTACAGTTCTGTGTATTCTTGCCACCTCTTCTTAATATCTTCTGCTTCTGTTAGGTCCATACCATTTCTGTCCTTTTTCGAGCCCATCTTTGCATGAAATGTTCTCTTGGTATCTCTAATTTTCTTGAAGAGATCTCTAGTCTTTCCTATTCTGTTTTTTTCCTCTATTTCTTTGTATTGATCACTAAGGAAGGCTTTCTTATCTCTCCTTGCTATTCTTTGGAACTCTGCATTCAAATGGGAATATCTTTCCTTTTCTCCTTTGCCTTTCACTTCTCTTCTTTTCTCAGCTATTTGTAAGGACTCCTCAGACAACCATTTTGCCTTTTTGCATTTCATCTTCTTGGGGATGGTCTTGATCACGGCCTCCTGTACAATGTCACAAACTTCTGTCCATAGTTCATCAGGCACTCTGTCTATCAGATCTAATCCCTTGAATCTATTTCTCACTTCCACTGTATAATTGTAAGGGATTTGATTTAGGTCATACCTGAATGGTCTTTCAGTGTCCTATCTTTTTGCCTTTTCATACTGTTCATGGGGTTCTCAAGGCAAGAATACTGAAGTGGTTTGCCATTCCCTTCTCCAGTGGACCATATTCTGTCAGACCTCTCCACCATGACCTGTCCGTCTTGGTTGGCCCCATAAGGCATGGCTTAGTTTCATTGAGTTAGACAAGGCTGTGGTCCATGTAATCAGATTGGCTAGTTGTCCATGACTGTAGTTTCAGTTTGTCTGCCCCCTGATCAGTGGAAATAGTGGCTGACTTTATTTTTCTGGGCTTCAAAATCACTACAGATGGTGATTGCAGCCATGAAATTAAAAGACGCTTACTCCTTGGAAGAAAAGTTATGACCAACCTAGACAGCATATTAAAAAGCAGATACATTACTTTGCCAATAAAAGTCCATCTAGTCAAGGCTATGGTTTTTCCAGTGGTCATGTATGGATGTGAGAGTTGGACTATAAAGAAAGCTGAGTGCCGAAGAATTGATGCTTTTGAACTGTGGTGTTGGAGAAGACTCTTGAGAGTCCCTTGGACTTCAAGGAGATCCAACTAGTCCATCCTAAAGGAGATCAATCCTGAGTATTCATTGGAAGGACTAATGCTGAAGCTGAAACTCCAATACTTTGGCCACATGATGTGAAGATCTGACTCACTGGAAAAGACCCTGATGCTGGGAAAGATTGAGGGCAGGAGGAGAAGGGGACGACAGAGGATGAGATGGTTGGATGGCATCATTGACTCAATGGACGTGGGTTTGGGTGGACTCTGGGAGTTGGTGATGGACAGGGAGGCCTGGTGTGCTGCAGTTCATGGGGTTGCAAAGAGTCGGACACGACTGAGTGACTAAACTGAACTGAACTGAATGGTCTAGTGGTTTTCCCTACTTTCTTCAATTTAAGTCTGAATTTTGCAATAAGGAGTTCATGATCTGAACCACAGTCAGCTCCTGATCTTGTTTTTCCTGACTATATTCTCCATCTTTGGCTGCAAAGAATATAATCAATCTGATTTCGGTATTGACCATCTGGTGATGCCTGTGTGTAGTCTTCTCCTGTATTTTTGGAAGAGGGTGTTTGCTATGGCCAGTGCATTCTCTTGGCAAAAGTCTGTTAGCCTCTGACCTGCTTTGTTTTGTAATCC